TCATTAACATTTCCATCGACCTCAATCCCACGCTAATAGCGGAGAGTCGCTCCGGAATCAGTTTTCAAATGCCCCTGCAAAGGGCCATATCCTAGTATAAATTATATACGTCGCGTGAAGATGGCAGGAGAAGTCTGAAGGTTTTTAAAGCCCCGATGAAGTTCGGCGATAAAGAAGGACAATGGAAAAAGCTGGAGAGTAGAATGAGAGAGAGGAGCAGAGATTTGCCGGCCGAGAAGATAAAGCACAGCCTGCTAATTATGTGCTTGATATTGTCCAGATGTCCTGCGGACGAAGCACCAATAAGGCGCTCGTCTATCGTCTGCCCTCTTTTTCTTCTCACTCCTCTCTCAGTCCTTTTTGCCTTGAAGGCCTGGCTCACCCCCCTTGACAAGGACCTAAGGAGGCCTCCCTCGCTATTTTTTTCCTTCCTATCTGTCCTTCTTCCTCTGTTCAGCGATTCATATCACAAACCTCGCCGGAAGCTCCCCGACAAAAGGAACAGGAAAAAAACTTCCCCTTCCCATTCCATTGTGGGCCTCTTGTCCCGTCTCCAATACACACTCTCCCCCAACCCCACCCCCCCCTCCCCCGCCCATTTCCACCGCCTCTGTTTTTATTATTTGCTTTGCTTTTTCTCCATCGTCTCTCTTGAGAGCCCCTACCCAGCGAGATGCGATGATATATAGACTCATCTCTCGCTCGTTTTCTTTACAGCCCTTCCCGCCACAGGTGCTGGCAGAGTTCCCGTTCACTCTGCCCTGCAGGGTGCCCTAAAAATGCCTCTCTTCACTAAATGCTTGCTGGGTTCCTTAATGTCCGGACGCACGTTCATCTTCCACTGATAACCGTAGCTTCATCCGGAGATTTCTCAAGCCAGATCTCGAAATTCTAACGTGGTCTCTATTGACAGAGTGAAACATTCCATTTAATTAACAGCTGTATTTAATTACCGACCTCGTCCGCTTTTAAAATTGATATGATGGACATGATTTATTTTGAAGAGGAGACTCAAATCAAGCGTGACACCTAATATGGAAATTCTCGTCATAGGTTTGAAAGCCAAAACCAACCAGTTTCATTCCTCTTATCGGCAATGAAAGATTCAAATGAAATCATTTTCAGAGTGATTCTCAGGCCTTACTGCAATGACACTGACCCCGCACCCCCAACCCCCAAAGAATTCGTGTTGGCAAGGGATCACGAAAATAGGGAGAACAAAAAGGGCCCGCCAATGAGCCGAGGAGGAGCTTATCATGCGGACATTATAGCCCGTCTAGGAGCTTTCGTTTCCTCTTTTGTCGGATGTCTAAAAGAAAACGGCAGTTCAGATTCTATTCTTGATTCCTTCCCGACGGAGCAATAGCGAGAGAGAGATGTGAATAGGAAGTTACACATTAATGCAAGTCTGAACGGGAATTTCTATTTGTCAGCTTGTCAATTGAATAAAGTTTTGCAAGTTAAAAAATCAACTGCCGAAGAATGGTGGCGAAAGTTTCAACCGACAGGATTTGTTAAGTCGCTTGATGTCCTCTCCCCATTTCCATCTCTGTCATATTAACATTTACATCCTTGTTTCTCCCAAGGAAACAACGGGAGCTTTAGCCGCATAGGTGACGAGATGCTTGACCCGATTGAGGATCTCATCCGAAATGAAAGAATCTGTCCGAGAAATTAAGGCGCGTCTCTGTTCGAGACTTCCCGGAAAGTCCCGAGAGTTGTGTCAGACTCCGGGGGAAAAAGAAGCTTGGTCTGTCTCTCGAGAAAAATCCGGAAACGGAAGATCGTTGCCGACTCCGACCTACATTAGACGCACGACGAGCAAACGCTATGGAATTCATAACAGACCTCTAGCCCAAGGAGCTGGCTCCCAAAAACGAGACAGGAATCTCCGGCTGTTAAGGACAAGGAGGTCCGTCATCGGCGAAGGATGGGTCTCGTATTGTCGATACGCGATGAGGAGCGAGACGATTTCCTCTATCTGGACTCAGGAAAGGTACTCAGGGTTCCTACTCGTCTTATCTTTCCTTCTTTTATGAGCGCCTTGGGTGGCTCCTGAGGGCATGCGGGTTGCCTCAATAACGGGTATGCCTGAGTATCGCCTTTGAAAGGTATATTTCTCGTGCGATAATTGTCATCACTCACGGCCCAGACGTCTGAAAGTGAGATAACAGGATGAATCGTCCTTTTCCCATCGCCTTCTCGAGTTTCCGAAAGCAGTCGCCGTCCATCACTGCTCATTCCCACTCCTACAGCAGTTCAGCGAAGTCCGAATGTACTGGTGAGATCAATTTTCCCGAAAGTGGCTGGCCTGTTTGTTGCCAGAGGTTTTTGAATGAAGACGATGAGATGATTGAAATCAAAATTTATCTCTATAAGCAAGGATCTCTGTCTGTCTCTGTCCATCTGACGCTATGCATTCGGACACCGTTGGAGATATTTTCCGGCGAGGTTTGTGATATGAATCGCTGAACAGAGGAAGAAGGACGGATAGGAAGGAAAAACATAGCGAGGGAGGCCTCCTTAGGTCCTTGTCAAGGGGGGTGAGCCAGGCCTTCAAGGCAAAAAAGCCCATAAAAGAACAACAGCTATATTACTCCCGGGCAACGCCGGGTAACCTAGCTTGTAATGAATATAGAGAATGTAACATTCCATAGTAACAAAGAAGCCTCTTCAGCAACTTCAAGATTTCAATGCAAGCCCTGATTCGCGAACGTGCCCTTCTAGTCTAGTCCAATGTTCCTTTGGCGACCGAATTTTTTGCGACTGCATGCTGATAAGTCGAGCGTGTCAGGACGGACAATGAAAGGTATCCAGCGCGGCTGATTGAATTTCCTCGGCCTATATGTCCGAGGCCTTTGGGCATCGGGAGGGGAGAAAAACCAGAGAGTATTTCTCCTCTATCTTCCTCTCTTCGTTGACCCTTTTTACTTGTTATCTAGGGGAAACCCTTCTCTTACATGGACCTGTGCCAAAAGCATCTCTCTTTTGCGTGCCCTTTTTCCCGGGGGAAAGTAGCGGCTATTGGCAAGTAACGCTACATCACCATCGACGGGACAGGCGAAGAACACGAACACAGAATCGAGTCGCCGGACTGATCTTTCCTGATGTGATACGAGAGCCGAGAGAGGACAAAACCAGATCATATTGATATACAGACCAGAATATGGTCAGCACGCAACCAATAGTGGCTCTCGTGTCTATGGTCGGTTCAGATCGTGGAAGATTTTAATGCAATTTAGGCTTTCTTTTACTCGTTCCTGCATGGCAATCCGACCGTGCCATCTGTCATTCGTCGTAATGGCTTTTCCCCCCAAGTAATTGTGGTTTTTTGTGCACATATTCTTAATCAATAGCTTCATCCGTAGGCAGGAAATACAATTATATTCTGTATAATTTTCAGGCTGAACTGAAGACACGTACGGATTTCCTTCACAACTTATCTCTAATGAGGTTGTAACAGTCGGAACTGACAGCAGAAACTGGCTCCTCGGTATGGCTTTTAAATCATGAAAAACGGGCCGTCTCGCCTCGGCATCAGACGAAGGAGTGAAACGATTACATACATTATGAAGTCATGGCCCCCTCGGTCGATGTCCCGAGAGCTGGCGTTTGTCGTTTAAAAGGGGAACCTGACCGAGGCGCAGAGTGGCCTAATCTGGTCGCGGAGAAGCGGAAGGAGGGATTCCTCCTCGTTCCATCCTCGAGGTTCTCCCCTTCATTAAGTGGAGCTAACTGGATTTCTTACCCTGCTTCTTGCTTGATGTGATCTCGCGGGGTAGATAGGGGAGGGAGGAGAAGATGGAAGAGACGACTGCATCAATTCTCGATATATGTAATTAACATTCATCTAACGTCTCCCCCAATGCACTTCCTGCAAATCCCGGACTTCTTATCTCGATCTCTCTACCGGCTCTCGCTTCATGGCGCGGGAATGGTGCCAAAAACGATATTAACGCCATTCGGACAAATTGCCTTCTGGGTTCCACCGAAGGGTGATGCAAGAAAGTGTATTCAGATTCATGTTCGAATGCCGAGGTTTTTTCTGCGCCATCGCCTCAAAATTACCTAATCGGTCATGCTGAATTTGGCATCGAATGAGTTGCTGAACGTTCCTCGCGAATGTGGGACTTTGTCTGACGTTTTCTGGAAAAAAAAGGAAGTCTTTGGCCGAAATTTCGATATCGAGTGATCCGAAAACTTTCGACGTTTTTGAGGATGAGGAAGCCGTTGGGACCTTCGTCGTATGAATATCTCTTCAGATTCACTTCGAAAGTTTTTTCCTCAAAAGTGGCGTTTTTTGTCGAAGGCTGCTTCACTCCAAAAGTTGTCATAGGTGTTGCTCAGCACTGTACTGCTCATGTTCTCGACCTACGCAAATGAGCAGAGAATGGTTTTCCATGTTCGTCCGGACCTTCATGGGGGATCAGGACTTGATCCTGGGATCATGCCTTGAAAATATTGAAAGCGAAAACCCTACGAGTAAGCGCTTTCGAGCAAAGGAATCCCTCCGCGGCAGGTGTCGTCGCATCGAAAAATCAAAATCTAGCCTTTTCCATTTGTTATCATGCTGTGCTCTGCAGGGAAGGTATCGATGTCTTTGGTTCCGAACATTCGTGTCACTGGGTGACTTCAAAGATCAAATCCAACGGTGAAGGTGTGAGGGTATGAACGTAGATAATGGCTTTTTTTCCCTCTAAAATTTGTTCATCAAAGTTGTCAACCTGTTTCTTCACTCTATGATATAATGGCTTCCAGAATGTAATGAATGATACGTACAACTCAGCCTCCCTAATCTCCTCAAAAATTGATGTTTCCTTCGAGCAAATATAATGAGGTAATGGGGAACCCTTCCTGAGTCCGATTCTACTAGTAAATTCCACGGGCCCCATCACGCGAAAGGCCCTGTTTCACAAAGCTCACGTCAATGCCATTTCTACGATTCCACAGTCCAACAACTTTAAGAAATCTACACCTGCATCCACGGGGGGCTGAGTGGCATGTGGATGTCGGGGGATAGAAGCCAGATTAGGAGTCAGGTGGATGTCTCCCCCTGGGGTGGATTTGGAACCGGGTGGACATTCCTCCAACAGGTGAATTGTCGTCTGGAGGGACATCCACTTGGTTTCAAATCAACTTGAAGGGTGGACGTTATGTAAGGATATGTCTTACATAAATGGATCTAACTAAATTAATATTACTAACAATAATAATAAGCTGAATCAGAAATGAAGAAAGAATTGATGAAATGCAAAATAAATAAGTTTTTTTCAAGCATCTAACAAGGTTGAGGCCGGACATAGTGTTCGCATTTAAACGCAAGAAAGGGAATATTCCGTCGACCGGTAGTGGAGTCTGGAGAACGCCACGGGGCTCACCTGATTACATAGTCTTAAGGATGCGCGTAATCACACCGAAATGTCAAACAAAGGTAATTAGTGGGCTCTAAGGCACAAAGTTGAAAGGAAGGATGCGCACAACCAGGACGTCTAACATGAAAATACAATCTCTTACAGGGAACAACCATCTACAAAGGCTAGTCAAGAAGTTCTAGAAGTTCTGCAACTCCTTTATTCCTTGATGTGCAAATGCCAAATCTCGTGGGGAATTGTATTGGGTTTTTGGAGGGCATTGGAAACTTTCTTGGTTATTAATTTTCTTTCGGATTTTTTATTTCATACATTATTTGAAAGGATTCCTTGAACCTCTTTCCCCCTGGAGAAAATGAGTGGAGCTTCTGACAGAAACAAAGTGGAAATTTAGAACACAATCGAATTTTTTTCAAAAGAAACTTCGCGCTTTTTGAAGCAAACGAACTTACCAAGCAGCAGCCAAAGGGGCTGCTGTTTATGGAGCAAATACTCCTGTATACTCGATCATATTCTGCAGACCCAAACTGTTAAAAAAAAAAAATGTAAATCATCTGGGACGACCCCAAGGTCAGGTTGGCCATCAATAAGGATTGAGGAGAAGAGCAAAAGTACAGGGAACGCTTCGGTGGATCAGAGAATGATAATTCGCGAGCCTGAACGTCTTTCATTCAGGCGATTCTCGTTAGATTTTCATTCAACAGTTGGTGCCATCGATCGACCTGACCTTGGGGTCACCCTTAACGAAGGTCTCATTATTTCGTACCACTCGAATCTATGGCACTTCGAATCTTTTAATTGGTCGGAAAAGAAGCTCCTCGCTCATTTCCGCAGACGGAAGGATGGGGGAGAGTCAATGAGTTCCTTTAAATAAAAAAAATTCGGAACAAATTGGAAAGAAAACCAATAATCGATCAATCTTTCTCATCGTTCCCAATACAAGATCTCCACGATAATTCGCATAATACGGAGTGAATGCGTAGCAGAAACAGTCCCAGAACTTTTTGACTGGCCTGTGCATGTTGCGAACATTTTACGTAGACATAAAGCGTAAAAGGCAAATGGTGTCGGGATTAATTGTCCATCCGTGGAATCACTCACGACAGCAGCTGCTCGCAATGACTCAGGTTCATAGCAATCCCTGATAAGTCAAGCGGTATTTGTGAGTATCCGTTCTTCCGCTTTTTTTTTTTTTTAACTCGGAGCGCATTTCTCAGGTCATTTGCTTTCTGCTTCGGCGTGATCTTTCGCATCCTTGCTGCTATGCAGCCAGGCAACTTGGTGGCATTCGTCGAGCTACACTTACGGGCGACTGGAGATTTCATATTTTTCCTTATGTTGCGTTGAAATGCGAACCCCCTGCGTCCCAGGGGCCTCGAGCAGTGCAAGTATTGGGTCGCAACGGGAAAAGGGCCCGCTGGGAATGGGGAATTTTGACAGCCGTGGACACTGGGATGGACGTGTCAAGGGGCGGAAACATACCTCGTGCTGAAAAGTCCACGATTCAACTGCCTCCGGAGTGACTAATAATAGCAGCAGCTGGAGTCGATGCAGTTGGAACAGCCTGAGGTGCGAGTCGTCGTTGTGGACGATATCGAGAAGAAGCACGCAGCAATGGGGAAAATGATACATTTGAGCTGTGCATCGCGTGCGCCCGACGCTTCTCTCTCCGTAGCTCTCTCGTATCGCGGTTCCCTTTGACTTCATCTATTTGCTTGCACGTCGATTGTCTCCCTTACGCATCTGTGGCGGCTCGTGATCTGTAGCAGTAGTAACTCTTCGATGGGGGCAGAGTAGGCTCAGGTCTAACACTACTAGACTATAAACACAATTTGAATTAGATTTACCAAGCTCCTCGACATGTTTTGTCATGATGTGATCATGAAGTAGGAAAAACAATACAATTCTGATGTATTTTCCCCCCACAAGCTGGTATTCTTTTTGTCCCCCGGCTCCCTCTGTCTCCGCACACTGGTAGAATTCCAAGTTTTCCCCTTTTTTTTCTTCGTCATCCGCTTCCGTGGGCGCGGCAATTTGTCTTCCATCGGGAAGCTCGATAATGACGGCCCCTCAAGGAGCGAAGGGATGTCGAGCAATTTAATGGAAAGAAAGAAATGTACCAGCCGGTGGAGGCGCAGGGAGCTGGAGTTTCCATCTGAAAGAAATATTTATCATGGGCGACTGTTTCTATAAACCTGTGAATATCTCCCGCAGAGGCTGGACCTGAACGAAGACGGAGTCATCACGTGGGAGGAGTTTCTGGACTCGTGCTTGACGGACGACACGACGTTGGAGTCCCTCGGCTCCGTGTATGACGTCATTTAGGGGGGGGGGGGGGCTTTCAATGGTAAAAGAAAGACATTAAACAACAAAAAAGAAGTGGACTGGGACAGATATATAAAGACGAAGAAAAATGCCACAAGTGACTGTATAGCAGGGGAAAAAGAATCCCTTTCATTGAGATCTGATACGGGGGGGGGGAAGCTCGCCGTTCTTCGCAGACGACATCCGCGGGGCACAAGGGGGTGGGCTCCTTTTTTCCACGGCTTCCAGCGGATATTCGTAAACGATGTTCTCGGTGTCAGCTGCGTTCTTATACGCTTCGTGTGTTCCTCAGCTTTCCGGTTCCAAAATAAATTGAAATTTTCATTTTCTATCGCTCTGCCTTTTGTTCTGTCAAGACCGTGACGGTTTTTTCCTGCAGGAAAAATCGATGGTAATGAGAAAAAGTGGGACCAGAATAATAAGGATCGTTCTTGGAAGAGGTAGTCTGGATCCAATCATTGTCAAGTCGATGGGTCGCCCTCAGACAGGCCTTGAATTGATCCCCGTCTCCGATTGAAAAATATAAAAAAAGAAGCCACTCGTGCACACTTTAAAGACCTCTGTCTCATCAAAAATGAGGTCTCTTATCAGATTCGGAAGCTCGTTCCCTTGCGTGACACGTGTCGTCAATCAACTTCAAGACTTCTTTCCGCTCTCAACTCGATAGATTCGAGAATGTTTCATGGCTTCGTGCGCTTCCCAGACATTTTTTTTTTTTTTTTTTAGTGGAATCGACCCCTGGGGAAGGCTATCACTGCATCGAGGCCCGGGGCGTGTGTGTGTGGCACTGAGGGAAAGTGATTACTTTTGAAGAAGGGACCCGAGGAGAATGCGGGAGCAGCTGGCTTCTCTCTCTCTCTCGAGGCGGATCATAAAACTTTCAGACGTGGAATTCCTGATTGTCTTATGGGACAAGGACGTGTCTTCAATCATGATAGTGCGGAACCGGAAAGAATGCGAAGGGGCTCGCCTTTCCCTCGATCGCGTCTTGGGAGGAGATGGGCCGAGAATGAGGGGAGCAGAATGGAAATAATAATTGAAAAAAAAAAAAGCTTTGCCTGAATCTGTGCCTCTAAAGTCGCTCATTTATATTCATAAGACTTAATGCATCGTTATTGCATTACGTACCTCATCGATGGATTCAAAATTCAAGCTGATTTGCACGAGAATGAGCTCGTCCCTCTTCAACTTGATCTCGAGGCAAATGAGGAAGATAGTGGAAGGAAATGACTGCCTGGGCCCTCAGATAGTTATTTGATCGATGCACGCGTGATCACCCGAGATTGGTGCTAAAAAGCTTTCTCCTGTCTCGGGATAAAATAATTCCACGACTCACGCATCCTAAGAAGGAAAGAAAACGGGGCTGTTTGGCATGGCAGACTGTGCTCGGAGAGCGGTCTTGCGTCGAGAGTGAAGCCAAACACGGAAAGTCGCACGATCTGTCTAAATGTGAACCTTGAGATTCGCGACAAACAACGAGAAAGGACCAAATTGTTTCTTGAGATTCGTCACCGCTCGCGTCCCTGTGGATGACGTCAGTCCGCTCTCCGAGCGGCCCTGGGCCTGCATGAAGGAGAGAATGAGTGAAAAATAGCCGACGTTCAGGAGACTTTAGGGGCTTCTTTTCATTTCTGCTCGCTCTCTTTCCCGTTCCTTCCTGCCTCCTTCGCCATCCTACGAGAGGATGAATGACTCTGGCATTCATATTTCATGGCCAGATACGCCACGGAACTGCTTAATTGGAGGCTGGCTTTTTCTCTCTTTCCCCTCGTTCTCTCTACTTCTCTCTCTTTCTCTCTCTCTCTGCTGAGACCTCACTCCCATAATTCCGCACAAAAGAGCCTCGTAATGACGCGTCTCGGAACCGGGAGGCCGAAGTTAGTGATGGCAACTCATCATAATTGCACCGCCGAGAAGGAATCGGGAGTTTCGGCACGATCCTCACCGGGGGGGAATCATCCGCATGCGAATGGGCGAAGTGCTGGTCTCGCGATTAGGGGCCGGGCATTCATCAAGGTCATCCTCGGGGTTGCGTGAAGATCTCGGAGATGAATTTTTAAATCGGACCTCGTCATAGATGTCGAAGACGACTATCGGCGATCGATCCGAGCGAGAACCGGCCTCGAGACTGAACCGGAACGAGACGAGATCATCGAGAAAATGCAGGCTTTCTTCCCACTCCCAGCACGTGTTTCCCATTTCCCGGGGCCTCTTCCCCTTGCCTTTTTCACCGCCAGCACATCCCCATTTTATTGGGCTTTTCTTCCCTGCATTTTATGCAGCCAGCCTCGGCACCGGCACGAGACAACTCGTCATGGATCGAGTGGAGAAGCTTCAATATCGTTCCGCTACGCAAACACTCGTATGGGGGAAATAATTCTCGCCCCCCCACGTGAAACCGACCGACGACGGCGGGAAATGGAATTCTCTCTTCCATCTTGTCTCTCCACAGGTCCCTGACAACAATGACGACTTTCTCGTCGGTCGGCCTGATGGATGAGAGGAAAAAACGGCCGACGGCCCCGGGCCCGACAGGAATCGGTCGAAATTGGTCGGAAAGATCCGGTCGACAATTAGGGGCATGCCGTTTCCCCCGGGTATTCCCGGAATCGCGATCGAATGATGCACGGAACCTCATCGGTCCCCCCCTTTTCGTGATGTGGATCGCCCGACTTTTTCCCCCGAATTTATTGGCCCCGCTCTGGGACGCCTAATGCCAATTTCGGGCAGATGAAAAAAAAAACCACGTCATATCACCGTCCGCCATCGGAATTCGGTTCTCGACGAAGCGCCAAAGACCGTCAAGACTATCTGGAACCTTCCCCATTTCTCTTTTTTTCTCGTTTTCCGCATAAAACAAATCACCACTCGAGAGAGAGATAGACCTGCGGTTGGTTCATACCAAGAAGCCCCGCGGTCCTCCCCCCCTCCCCCCCTCCGCCCCCCCTTCCCCTCCCTCCCCTCCGAAATGATGTTGACACGAGGAGATTGGTTCCAATAAACGGCACTCGATTCCC